GCAGGGTCTGGAATGATAGGCAGAGATGTGGGGTATCTCGTGGTGTCTCATGCCTATAATCTTAGTTACTTGGGAGGCTGAGATTGGGAAGATTGAGGTTTGAGGCCAGCCCAGACAAGTACTTGGAGAGACTCCATCTCCAAAAATAACCCAGAGAAAAATGGACTGGAGATGTGGCTCAAGTTGTACAGCGTCTGCTTTGTAAGCAGGAAGCCCTGAGTTCAAATCCAAGTCCCACAAAAAAGAAAAGGCACTGGGTCTCATCTGAGTGGCCTGGGCTTCTGAGCAGGAGTTCCATGTGCTCTGCCGAGGGGACGCACAGCTGTTTGAGGAGCATCAGCATCGCCCTCTCTCCAGGTGCCACTTAATAATTTTTAAATGATTAATAAAGTAATAATTTTATTTATTTATTTATTTATTTATTTATTTATTGCAGTACTGGCGCTTGAACTCAGGGCCTACACCTTGAGCCACTCCACCAGCCTTTTTTTAATGGTTTTCTTCAAGATAGGATCTTCAGAACTATTTATTTGCCTGGGCTGGCTTTGACCCATGATCCTCCTGATCTCTGCCTCCTGAGTAGCTAGGATTACAGGCGTGAGCCTCTGGTGCCCGGCTGCTTAATGATTTTAAACAATATTTTATATAACAAGGAGATGATGGAATAGAAGGGAAATTAACAAGACGTTTGAAGAAAATCCATGGTCACCAGATGCATGCCCCGCCATGGTGGTCTCAATACCAGGTACCCCATAAGTGGAGAGGGCTGGGGGAGGTGATTAGGCCACCCCAGCAGGGTAAAAGCAGGCTGCAGTGCCCTCCCTCCCCTGCACTTGGGGGCCCATGAGTCCCACTCACCTGAAAGATTCGAGGGTCCCCAGGAGGAGGGCTGCCCGAAGGAGAGTAGACAGGCTCCAGCCGAGTGAACTCCTCAGCAAAGTTGCCGACATCCAGCTCCGAGCGGATCTGGGGCCGGAATGGGGCTGGAATCTTCCTGGCAGCCAGAGCAGCCCAGTCCAGCCCCTGGAAAGAAGGAATCCAAGATGAGGGGTCAGGCCAGCACCAGGGGCTCATGCCTGTAATCCTAGCTACTCGGGAGGCAGAGATCAGGAAGATCTCAGTTCAAAGCCAGCCTGGGCAAAAAGTAAGACCCTATTTCAAAAATACCCAACATACACACATACACACACACACACACACACACACACACACACACACACACAAAGGGCTGGTGGAGAGGTTCAAGGGGTAGAGCACATGCCTAGCAAGCATGAGGCCCTGAGTTCAAACCCCACTATTGCCAAAAAGAAAAAAAAAAGATAAGGGGTCATAGGGACCCCACTCCCTTCAGGCATAGCTGGCATGCCTCCAGCCTCCCCAGATTCCACCTCCCTCCCTCAGGAAACAGAGCCTGGTTCCCCTTGGAGAACTTCGACTCTGCCACCCACAGTCAGGAACCTGTGACAGGAGAGGCATGAAAAATAAATCTTTCTCCTACTGTACTCAAATCTGACCGAGTGGGCCTGGAACAGCTGGGGACCCTCTCAAGGTTGCATGATAAAATCCCCGTGCAGAGAAGCAGAACCAGGGGACAGTTTCAGCAGCTGGATGTGGCCTTGCCTGAAGTTGGACACTTAGAGGAGTGAAAGCTGCCCTTTTACGTGTAAGCTAGTGTGACAGAACCTTTTAATTGCCAGCCAAATATCCATTCCTCCTGTCTCTCTTAGCACGACAGTCCCAATTTTATTCCAGAAACAACATATACAACTAAAAGCATATTTTACAAACACGTCCTTGCAGTTATGGGTGCCCCACAACTTGTAAGCAAAAATTGTCCAGGAAAGATCCTCAAGATGGAGGTCAGTAGTGGACAAATGCCCTCTGTCCTTCTTCTTCCTCCTGCTTCTTGCCTGGCAGGCAGACTAGAGAGCAAGAGCTTTAGCAGCTATTTTGGGCCATGAAGAAACCCTGGGGATGGAGGCTACATCTTAAGACAAAAAAGCTTGGATTCCTGATGAGACCATGACACTGTGAAGACACCAGCACAGCCTTTATGTAAGAAGAAAAATAAAGAAGCCTCTTCTTTTTGATTTTTGGTTATTTTTTAGGTAGAGTCTTGTTTTTGCAGAGCTGACCTTAGACCATGATCCTCCTTCTTATACCTCTCACATGGCTGGGACTACAGCTATGCCCACCATGCTTATTTTGTTGAGATGAGGTCTCACTAACTTTTTACCTAGGCTGGCCTCAAACCATAATCTTCCCAATCTCTGCCTTCCATGTAACTGGAATTACAGGTGTGTATCACTGTGCCCAGCCTTGAAGCCTCTATATTTTGGAGGTCACTGTCTGATCTCTGTTGCTAGATGCTGAATTCTAATCTAGTGGACACCATTTTGAGTTGGACTTTTTGTCACTTGCAGCCAATAGGCCTGAGCTTGAAGACTCCAGTTTTGCCACCAAGACCTCAACACTGCTATCACCAAAGTGGCTCTCCAGAGAGAGGGCAGAATGAGAGGAACACCCCTCCAAGCAAGCTCTCCAAGATGGCTGCTCTGCCCACTCCCAACACCCATGTGGCACCCAGTGTGGGCTCAGGGTGGAGTCAGAATTCACTGAAGAAACCTGACACTACTCAACTGTCTCCCCAACTCTGCCTTTCTCCTCCCCTCCAAAAAGGAGGCCCTTCCAGGCTGGGCTTGTCTAGAAGTCTTATTTATTTATGTATTTATTTATTTATTGCGGTGCTAGGATTTGAACTCGGGGCCTACCCCTTGAGCCACTCCACTAGTCCTTTTCTTTTGGTGATAAGCATTTTCAAGATAGGGTCTTAGAAACTATTTGCCCAGCTTGGCTTCAAACCGTGATCTTCCTGACCTCTGCCTCCTGAGTAGCTAGGATTACAGGTGTCAGCCACCAGCACCCAGCTTGTCTAGAAGTCTTAGGAATGGAGCCCCAGCACCGGTGGCAGAGTCGCCTGTCATAGTAAGCACCCATAAATGGGCGCTCTTGTGGCCATGTCAGATAATTGGAAAATCTGATGTCCATATGCAAGCAGGACAACGTGGCTGTTAAGAGCACAAGCATTAGCCAAGTGTCAGTAGCTCACACCTGAAATCCTAGCTCTTGGGAGGCTGAGATCAGGAGGATCAAGGTTCAAGTCCAATCCAAGCAAATAATTCATGAGACCCCAAAATAGCCAGACCAAAATGGACTGGAAGTGTTGCTCAAAGGGTAGAGCACCTGCTTTGCAAGCTCAAAGCCCTGAGTTCAAATCCCAGTTCCATTAAAAAAAAAAGTACAGGCATTTGAGTCACCAGCCCCAGGTTATTTTATTTATTTATTTATTTTGGCTCCAGGCTGGCTTTGAACCTCGATCCTCCTGATCTCTGCCTCCTGAGTAGTTAGGATTACAGGTGTGAGCCACCAGTACCCGGCCTGGCCCCAAGTTTTGAATCCGAGCTCCATCACTGCCTCATGGAGAGACTGGACAAATGACCCTCAACTTCTGCATCCATAAAGATGGGGACAATCAGGGATGTTCTGGGAACTTATGAAACTGTGTAAGCAGAGGGCAGACACTGTCTTCACTGTTACAGGGTCCTGCCAGATGAGGCTAGTGACCATGCAACGCACAGAGTCAGGGAAGTCTCACCCGCAGGCAGAGTTCACTGTGTGCCAAACTCTCACACGTGCATGCCCTTGACAAAGGAGCAAAACCCCCTGTGGGCTGGTCAAGGGTCCACCAGAGACGTTACAGGGTCAGAGAACAGAAACGTGGGTGATGCTAAGAGCCACAGATGTGATTAGGGCCAATAACAGACCTAGCTGGAGCCAGGATCTGTCCCAGCGCTGCACCGGTTTTCTGTGCCCCTTGGGCAGGTCACCAGCCTTCTAGGTCTATCCAAGGAAAGGAATGATCCATCCTCAAGACCCTGCCAGGTCCCACAGTTGATGACCCCAGTTCTTCAAGATGAGATGCTGCTGGACGCCAGTGGCTCATGCCTGTAATCCTAGCTACTCACAAAGCAGAGGTCAAGAGGATCACAGATCGAGGCCAGCCCAGGCAAATAGTTCGAGAGACCCTATCTCAAAAAAACCTAACACAAAAAGGGCAGGTGGAGTGGCTCATGGTGTAGGCCCTGAGTTCAAACCCCAGTACTGCAAAAAAAAAATGGTGCTGCCTTCAATAAGGATGGAGAAGGTGATCCTCACCCCACACTTGCCTTCTTATCTGGAGTTTCAATATCAACTGAATTGACAAGGCTCAGACCCTCCCTCTGGGGCCCCCACCCAGAGCATCGGCCCAGCCTGGGCCTGTGCAGGAAGTGTGAGGCCCAGGGTCAAAGCCTCACCTGGAAGAAGGGGTGGCTCTTGACTTCTTGTGCCCCGTGGGGACCCGCGCCCAACCTCTTCTTGGGGTCCTTGCACAGCAGCCGCTGCAGCAAGTCCTGTGCCACAGGCCCAATCCGAGGGGGGAAGGGAGGGGAGCACTTCAGGATCCGTCTGGGAGGATGGGTGGGGCGTCAGGGGCAGCGAGCCCCCCCACTGCCCAGCCCAGCAGGCCCTGCAGCCCCTCAGCTGCCCTCCACGGCCAGCCCCACTCACCGGGACACCTCAGCCTGCGTGTTCCTCTCGCCCTCCAGTGTGAAGGGCGAGGCCCCTGTCAGCAGCTCGAAGAGCAGGATGCCCAGGCTCCACCAGTCCACGGCCTAGGGGGTGGGGCCTGGGTGAGGGCCTAGGGCCTCCCACTTCCCACCCCACCACTACCACCCCACTGCCCCCCCAACCCACCTTGCCATGCCCAGCCTTGCTACGGATGATTTCGGGGGCCATGTACTCGATGGTGCCACAGAAGGAGAAGGTCCGCTCTTTCTGGGAGGGTGAGAGGACCCATTTTGACATCCAAGCCTCCCCTGTATTCCAAAGCCCCTCAAATCTCAGAACAGGACTCGCTTGAATTGTAACATTAGAGGGTTGAGCAGTGGGAACTTCAAGATCGCTCCCTCTGTGCCCCCAGAATGCAGGTGTGAAGCAAGAAGAGACAGGCAGAAAGCCTCAATGGGATCAGGTGCCAGTGGCTCACACCTGTAATCCCAGCTACTTGGAAGACTCAGATTGGGAGGATGGAGATTCAAGGCCAGCCAGGGCAAATACTTTGTAAAACCACCATCTCCAAAATAACCAGACTAGAGGTGTGGCTCAAGTGGTAGAGCACCTGCTTTGCAAGTTCAAAGTTCTGAGTTCAATCATCAATGCCACCTCCCCCCGCAAAAATACAAAGAAAGCCTGAGTGGGGTGCCACAGGCATTAGCTTGCAGTTAGCTTACCTCCTCGGTCAGGAACTCCTTGCTCAGCCCAAAGTCTGTGAGCACAATGTGGCCCTCGGAGTCCAACAGTACGTTCTCCAGCTTCAGGTCCCGATAGATAATGTCCAGCTAGCAAGAGCAAGAGGGACACTAGGCTTTTTGTCCCCAGGCCCTTCCCATCACCTACACCAGGTCCTGACTCAGGTAAGGAGACCCCCTGGAGAAGGTCATCTGCCTGCAGATGGCCCCAGAGAAGCTGGGCGAGTGGACAAGAAAGGCCACTGAAGATAAAGCAAGGAAGGAGGCCCCAGAAGACAGGTCGCAAGGTCCCCAAGAATCTGTGTGAAGAGCCCTGTTTGGAGGCCTTGGGAGCAGAGGCCTGAAGTCTCCATTTGAGGAAGTTCTGTGCAGGCAACCCCAAGTTCCTGCAAGAGGAAAGCCCCTTGCAGGAGACACCAGAAGAGGAGACCCTGCCAGACAGAGCTGAAGCCAGGGAACCGTGAGAAGGCCCTGTTTGTAGGCCTGTCACCAGTTCCATGGCAGCAGCCAGGGGCCAGGTCCTCACCCACCTTGTGCAGGTGCTCCAGGGCCAGCACGATCTCACCGCCGTACACGCGCACCTCGGCCTCCTTGAAGTACTGGCGCTGGTAGAGGTGGGTGAACATCTCACCGCCGCTCACGTAGTCTGGAGGCGCAGTGGAGGTTGGGATCTGCCCAGGTCAGGTGGCTTGACCTGCCCCCGTCCCCCCTAGGTCGGGATGTGGGACACCCTCACCCAGGATGAGGTGCAGCTTGGCGTCAGTCTGGAAGGCGTAGTGTAGCGTGACGAGGAAGGGCGCCTGGCGCACCAGCTCCAGCACCGAGCGCTCGGTGCGCGTGTGCTCCTGCGTCTTGGCACGCTGCACCAGGGCTGCTTTGCGCAGCACCTTCATGGCATACAGCTTCCCCGCGTCGTGCCCGCCCGCCTTCCGCACCAGGAACACCTTTCCATAGGCTGTGGGAGCAGCGAGTGGGCGGAGGAGAGGCTGTGAGTGGGTGGGTGGTGCAGCATGGTGGGGGCGGGGGTGGTGCCAACCCAGGAGGGTGTGCAAACTGGGGATGAGAGATAGGTGTGCAGAGCCTTCTTAGGAAAAGGTGTGCACACACCCCCGGAGGCTGCTCAGCAAAACCAGGGAAGAGATGTCGCACACAGGCTGGGGAGCTTGCAGGGAGGGGGGGCGGGGCGTGTGCAAACCTGTGAAAGATCAGAGGGATGAGAAAAGATGCAAATGCAAAGAAGGGAGGCCAAGGTGAGCTCCAGGCCAGAGGAGGATGTGCAAACCAAGGCTGGGGAGTTTGCAGGCTATGGCAGGGGGCGCTCACATCGGGAGAAGGGGCGGGGCTATGCAAATCACTTGGGAGGGGGCTTGCCAAATGGAGGCGAGGGGCAAGCACACACAGGACCTTGCAGGGAGGAGTGATGTCAACGTGGAGCGCCCTGGAAGTGGGCATGAAACCCTGGCACGGTAGGGTGGGGCGGGCCAGGCTGGCTGTGCCGGGAAAGGGTGGGGGGGCCTCCTCAGTGGCCTGGCCCAGGCCCAGGCGGGTGTGCAGGCGGGAGGAGGCCCAAGGCACCATGCCTGGGACACCTGCCCGGTGGACGGGGATTCCTCACCTCCCGTGCCCAGCACCTTGAGCAGTTCGAAGTTCTCCACGCTCACCTTCTCTTCGTGCCCGGTTAGGTTGGCTGTGGGCACAGGAGGCGAATGAGCCCAGCAGTCGCCGACCTCCTCCCTGTCCGCCTGGGGCAGCTATCGCCAGATCCCGCACCCACCTTCGGTGATCCGCAGCTCCACCGCGCAGCCCTCGTCGTCATCCTCGTCCCCCATGGCAGGCGGGTGTCTGGGGCCCGCGCAGCTGGGCTCCGGGCGGCGCCGGTTACATGGCGGCTCCAGCCGGGGCGGGTGCTTCCTGGTGCCGCCTCCAGGGCCGACCGGGCGCCGGCGCCGCCTCCCGGCTCCCCGCCCCGCGCGGCCTGAGTCAGGCGGCTGGAACGTGACAGCGCAGGGCTGCGGTGGGCAGCCCGCGGTGACCCCGTCTCCCCAGCCCAGGGTGGGCGTCAGGGCTGTGCGCTCAGGGACCCCACTCAATCTTCCCAGGGCCCGCAGGAGCCATGTGCGGGCTGCGCTTAGCCTGAAGGCGATTGTTGGGTACTGCCCCCAAGCCTTGTGTCTGCCCAGGATGCCCGCGAAGGAGCCTGTGACCCACCATTGGAGGAGGGGTGACCATCCAGGCACAGAGCCCTCCCTTCTACCAGGGCCAGCCCAAGGGCAGCCACACTTCTGCTCAATTCTGTCAACCACCAACCAATGTCAGCCACTTTTTACAAATCACAACCGTTCTGCTTCCTTTCTTCTTACTCTGCGACAGCAAGTACAAAAAGGACTCCATATGTCCCCTTGAGAGATGAGCAGCCCCTGGCCAGCTGCTAACTACACAGCTTCAGCTTGGCACCCCTCATTCAGCAGGACCTCAGCTCTTGATGCTGGGCAAGCTAAGAGGACACTAGGAGTAGGCCTTAAAAAGAAGGACGCCCATGCCCAGGAACAGTGGCTCACGCCTGTAATCCCAGTTAATAGAGAGGCAGAGATCAGAAGGATCTCAGTTCAAGGCCAGGCCAGGCAAAAAGTGAGACCCCCATCTCAACAAATAAGTCAGGTATGGGGGTTCACAGTTGTAATCCAAGCTATATGGGAGATACAGGTGGAAGGATCCAAGGTCTGATGCTGGCCCCAGGCAAAATGCAAGATGTTATCCAAAAAATAAACAAAAAAAAGTGGCAGAGTGCCTGCCTAGCAAGCAGGACCTGAGTTCAAACCCCAGTACTGCTTTAAGAAAAGCGGGGGGAGCCCCACAGGAGGAGTCTCCTCTCCCATCAGGTCCAGAGCCCCTGGCTGGCCTGTCCCAAAGGCCACCAAACAGGGCCAAGCAGTCATAAAAGCCTTAGACCTGAGGCCTAAGGGAGGCTGGCCCTTAATCTTTGTTGCTGACTGGAGGCCAGGGGTCAGAGGGATGGGGGAGGGAGACACACTAACTCCACTGTTCTGTGAAGTTCCCACTGAGAAGGAGGGAGCCAGGCTGCTGCAGGTCACTCTGGAAAGGGGGGGACCACTGCACAGGCAAGCTCTGCCCACCCCCAAATTCAGCCTGCCTCATCTCAGCCCTGGGCAGCCCCACCCTCCCCAGAGCAATACAGGTTCCCTGACTCACATCCTGCCACCCAACCTAATTGCCCCCCTTTCCCAGGCGTCATCCTAGAGGCCCAGGTCAGAGACCCAATGTGCCTCCCACCTCAGTGGCAGCCCCTGACACTAGATGATCCCCACCAGGCTATGAGCTCCCAAGCTGAGTCAACCCCAAAGGGCTGGGGGGACAGAAGATAAGAAAGCAAGAAAATGTGGAGAGAGAAGAGTACCCTAGGTGAGGGTGGGGTTGGGGCCATGGGGGTTGCACTGCCCACACCCAGAGCCCAGGCTCCACCCACTGCTGGCTGGCCTCCCTGGTGGCACGATCCAGGCTTTGGCAAGGCTGACTGGCCACACCCCAATGCCCTGGTCTAGGCAAGAGCCCTTTGGCACAGACCCCCACCAACCAGGAGGTATTCCAGCCCCATACCCAACGCTGGGCTCCCAGAGACAGCCAGGAAACACAGCATGGACTCAGGGTTGCCTATTCCAGCTTTATTCTTGTGTCCCTCACATTCCAGCTAAGGCTCAGACATCAAGCCCAAGTCACCGACCCCAGGGAATGGGCCTTGGCTCCCAGTCTGAACTGGGCAAGGGGCTCTCTTGCCGCTTCTGCCAGCCTGCAGTTGGGGCATCCCCCAGAGACCACCTCCTCACTAATGGCCGTATGGCAGAGCCAGAGCCCCAGCCAGGAGTCACTCGCCCATCCCCCCTGTTCACAAGCTTTCCCCAGCTCCATCTTGGGGCAATGGTGCGGGCTGTGGGGGTTCTGGTGGTCCGGGCTTCTTTGTCCAAGGATTCCCCTTGGGCACCATGGCTCCCTGAGGCCTTGGGCTGCCTGGGGCCACAGTTGACACTCCAGTGGCGAGAGGACTGTACTCCCAAGGTCCCTGTCCTTGTGGCGTCACTGGCTGAGGGAAGGGGTGAGGAGACGTTTCTCGGGTTCCGGCTCCTCAAGGCCTGGAGGGACAAGCTCAGCTCAGGCCCACCTCCCTAGCGGGACTCCCAGCTTGCCAGGCAGCCCACAGGGCCCTGCACCAATGCCTGTGCTCTGCCCCGCCGGTCTTCTCCACACCAGCTACACCAGTGCTTGAGTGTGCCAGGCCTTTCTTCAAGTTGTCCCATAAACTCTTACCGCCAAGTCTCTGCTCCCTCTTTACCTCCTGAGACCATCCTACTTCCTGCACCCTCATAGACATCCAACACACACACCAGCGCTCCTGACACTTCCTCATTCAGCTTCCTTTCCTGAGCATCATGACATCCTAGCTCTCGGGGGCTGAGCTAACAAACCCAGCAGCTGCACCATGGCTGATCTGAACCTACATGTGCTCGCCTGTGACATGCCCTCAGGACTTCAAAAACTTAGCATAAAAAAAAAATAATGTCAAACAAGATGCCAGGTGGCTCATGCCTGTAATCCTAGCTACATGGGAGGCTGAGATCAGCAGGACTGAGATTCTAGGCCAGCCCAGGCAACTAGTTCTAGAAACCCTATCTCCAAAATAACCAGAGCAAAATAGACTAGAGGTGTGGCTCAAGTGGTAGAGCGCTTGCTTTGTAAGCTTAAAGCCCTGAGTTCAAACTCCAATGCCACCAAAAATAATGAATATCTCCTTTGTGATTTTTTTTTTCTTGGGTGGGACTGGGGTTTGAATTCAGAGCCTCACACTTAGAAAGCAGGCATTCTACCACTTGAGCCACACCCCCAGCCCATTTTGCTTTTGTTATTTTTCAGATAGGCCCCTGAGCTTTTGCCCACGGGGAGGGCCTCAGACCCTGATCCTCCTACCTATGCCTCCCACATAGCTGGGATTACAGAAGAGGGCCACTACATCAAGCTTATTGGCTGAAATGGGATCTCACTAACTTTTTGTCCGTCCAGGTTGGCCTCAAACTAGGATCATCCCAAAGTCTACTTCCTGAGTAGCTGAAATTACAAGTGTGAACCCTTCATTTGTGACTTTATTTCCCACTGACTGCAGGTTGAAAATGGTAATTTTAAGCAAATCAAGTTAAATTAAGAAACATTAAAATTCATTTCACCTGTCTCTTGTGACTTTTTTGTTTTGCTTTGTTTTTTGGGGTTTTTTATTTTGTTTTGTTTTGTTGGCGGTACTGGGGTTTGAACATAGGGTCTACTCCTTGAGCCACTTCACCAAACCTTTTTTGTGATGGGATTTTTTTTTTTCTTCCACAAAGGGTCTCACAAACTATTTCCCCTCACAAACTATTGACCCTCGATCCTCCTGATCTCTGCCTCTTGAGTAGCTAGGATTACAGGCGTCAGCCACTGGCACCTGCTGGTTTTGTTTTTGAGACAGGGTCTTGCTATGCAGCCCAGACTGGCCTTGAACCCACAATCCTCCTGCTGAGATTACAGGTGTGCGCCAGACACCGTGCCCAGCTCCTACACTGTGTTTCTTTTGAACAGGATTGTTTCAGACAGTGATTATTTTTATGCACGTTTTTTGCTGTCTGCCTCCCACTCCAGAATGTTCCCTGCAGCATCCCCAGTAGCTCACTAGCTGGCACTTGGTAAAAGATGGTCTTCAGAGGAGAGAATAGATGAATGAGGTCTTCCAGGGGCCCAAGCTACACAGATACCCCAGTCCTTCCCCAGACCCCACTCACCCTCTCCCTTGGCATCTGTTTCATGTTCCTGGAGGGTCTCAGTGGAACCGTCCCATTCCACGCCAGATCCTGTGGGGCACAAGGCAGCCGCTGGGCAGGGGGCAAGGGAAGAGGTGGGCAGGGCTTGCAGGAGACACAGAGCACAGGAAGAAAGCCCTGCCCCCAGGGTGCTGGGTTCCTAAGGTGTTGGAAGCTAAGAGGACAGGGACGTCATCCCTCACCTTTGCCATGGGCACCGGGTGCTCCCAGGGGGCCTGGCCGGCGCTGTCGGAATCGTTGTCGGGGCGTGTCCCCAGGGCTAAATGATTCCGAGCTTCGCCCCACAGGGAACCTCGAACTGAGTTTCCGCCGCTGCCCACCTGCCAGGGTCTCATCCTGCAGGCAGAGGGAGCTCTGGGCCCGTCGCATGGGGGCCGGTGAAGGGGACCCTGGGAGAGGCACATGCAGGAGGTGGCGTCAGCGACATGCATGCAGGGGATGGCTGAGCAGAGGGGCCCATAGGTGACACTGCACAAGGCCAGAGAGAGAGGTGCGGTGCACAGCAGGGAGGGGACCATGGGGTCTGAACCCTGTACTAACTCAGACCTTGAGCGAGGTGCCTCCCTTCCTCCCTCCCTGGGCCATCAGTTTCCTCCTCTAGGATAAGCAGCACCTCCGTAAAGTGACCAGCCACTCTAAGGATCTAGGCACAGCTGGGATAGGTCTAGGTGAGTGACAGCAGAGGCAGGAGAGAGGTGCCTGCAAGAGGGACCATGGCAAAGAGCAGGGGGCAGGCAGCAGGGAAGGCCAGGGGTGAATGTGGCAGGCCAGGCAGTATGGCAGATGTGGGAGAAGGGACCACATGGAGTAGGGACCTCCTGGACACCTGGCCCGCAGACCCACCTGTCCCATCTGCCTCCCTGCCCTGGGGGAGCTCTGTCTCCAGGGGGGCCCCCAGGCTGTCAGTGCTGCCAGCCCCATCAGCCCCCAGGCGTGGCCCCCCAAGGGGGGCTCCCTCCCGCCGGGGCCGCATCAGCCTCTTCACCTTGTCTGCCAGCCAGCTGCCCTTCCTGGGAGCAAGAGGGCACAAGAAAGGGTAAGGACAGGGAGGAAGGAAGGAGAGGAAGAGGAGGGTCGTGTCAGGGATGGTGAGGGCTATGCCATCCCTCACTGGACCAGAGCTGGGCTGAGGGTCAGAGGGTTGGACTGGGCAGGGCAGGATGGACCTGAGTAGGACCCAGGCCTCAGGGAGGTAGGGGGCTCTCACTTGGTCCGGGGCAGGGGCCCAGGCTCCAGCACTCGATACTGGTCCATTATCTTCTCCACCAGCTTCTGTTTCTCACGACGCAGGGCGTTAAGCTGGTCCCTGGAGGGAAAGGGAGGGGAGGGGTGGGCATGAGGCTTGGGGAGGCTCAGGCGGGAGCACTGCGCAGGTGGAAGCACATACACCCTGGTGCAGCCATGCTGCAGGTGAGACCACCCTGGGCGGTCAACTCCAACACTTTTGCAATGACTTCCCGGGGCAGCTCTGTGTGAACAACCCCAGGCAAAGAGCCACTGAAAGGATGGGGGCAGGTGGGGGAAGGCTAGGGATGCATGTGTCAGGCCAGACAGCATGGCAGACATGGGAGGGGGACACACAGCCCGCAGCCTGCTCACAGGTACTCGCGCTGTTCGCGATGCAGGTGATCGCGACTCTCCAGACTACGCTCCAGCAGCTCCCGGTTCTCCCGACTCAGGGCCTGCACCTCGGCCAACAGCTGGCGGTTCTCCTCCTCTTGGGCACTCCGCAGCTGCGTCAGCAGCTGTAGGTGGCAGCAGGGACAGAATAAACCTGGCTCAAGGCAACCCAACCTGGCCGCCCTAGCCTGCCTCAGCCATCCCAGTCACCACTGTGAGCCACACCACACCTCACACTGTGTGGTCAGCCGGCAGGCGCTCAGGTCCAGCTGCTGGTTGGATTCACGAAGCTGCTGGCTCTGCATCTCCAGCTGTGCCCGCTCCAGCTCCAACCGTGCAAGGCGGCCCCGCAGCTCCCCACGTTCGCCCTGCAGCTCCCCTCGCTCCCGGGACACCTCCGCCAGGAGCATCTGGGCTCTTCAGAAGCAAGGAGAGTTGCTCTCCAAGGGCCAGAGAAACCATGCCGGGAGAGGCAGCAAAGCAGGACCCCACAGGGACACTCCACACTTCACAGATAGGAACACTGAGCGAAGGCCTGAGCAGTGGGGGGGGACCACACCAGTCCCGGTACCTGTCGTGCTCACTCTGCAGTCTCCGTAGCTCCTCCTCCAGACCCCGCTGCCGATGTCCATCCTGCATCAGGCGTTCACGCTCTGCCAGCAGGGCCACCTCCTGCGCCTCCACGTTGGCCCGCTGGGCCTGCAGCTGCTCGTGCCTGAATGGACAAGAGCCAGAGAGAGCTTGCTGGAGCCTGGGGCCATGGCAAGCAGGCGCTGGACTATGAGGACTTGGAAGGTCTGTCACCTTCTAAGCATAGCCCTCTCCCCGCCCAGGCAAAGCCACCAAGCAAAATGCCATGCCAGGTGCTACCACTCCCAACTGCTGCACCCAACCCAGAAGTCAGGGAGATCACACCTCCCAGGGAGCCTGCTCTTGGCAGGTGGGCATAACCCGGACGCTGGGCTCCTGGAGGCTCACCGGCCCTGCAGCTCCCGGTGGGCCAGCTCCAGGGTGCGCATGTTAGCCTTCAGGTCTCGGTGTCGCACCAGTAGTCCCTCTAGCTCAGTCTCCTGCCGTCGCTGCAGCTGTGCCAGGGCCTCATGGTCCCGCAGCAGAGCCTGCTGCTGCCCTCGGGTCTCCTCCTGGGCCTGCCGTGCTGCCCGCACCTCCTCCTCCAGCACCCCCAGCTTCCTGTGCAGCTCCTGGCCCTGAATCTCCATCACTGACTTCTCGGCCTAAGGCAGAGCAGGGAGGCAGGACCACTGCAGTGGGACCCAAGGCCCGAAAGGGGGTAAGGGACGAAGACTTGAGGGCAGAGGGCAGAGGACAAGGAGAGAGCTATAGCAGAGCCAGAGGGCTGGGGGGTGGGGCAGGTGAAAGGGAGAAGCAGAGATTAACTGGTAAAGACAAGAGAGGCAACATGGGGGCAGCCTGGAGCCAGGTTGTGCAGGGGAGGGCAAGAGGCCCAGGACCAGGGATGGGACAGATGGGGCTGGAGTAGGTGACAGGGGAAGGGGTGAGGACTAATGGCTAGCTGTAGAGGAGAGGGTAGAGATAGTGAGATGACAGAAGAGGGTGGGGAACAGATGTGGCAGCTGGAGGCAGGGGTGCAGAATGGGGTGGCTGGGTTCAGGAGACAAGGGTAGATGTGACTAGGAAACAGAGTGGGGTAGTTGGCTGGGGTAGGGAAAGGGGCCCAAAAGCATAGGAACAGAGGGCAGCAGAGAGTGAGCAGGGGACAGGAAAGGGGATGGGTCCTTCAAGCCACCACCCACCTGCAGGCGGCTGCTGTACTCCTGTGCCCGCTGACTCTGCAGCAGCAGCTCCTGCGCCCGGCCCTGCAGGTTCCCCAGCTGCCCCTCCAGGTGCTGCAGCTGCCCCTGCAGAGCCGCCTTCTCAGCCACCAGGGTCGCATTCTGCCGGAAGGCAGGGTTAGCAGCAGTCAAGCAGCCTCCCCCACCTCCCCCTGGTGGCCCCCATAACCCGGCACTCACACTTCGCTCCACCTCGATAAGCCGCCCACTCTGGGTCATCATGGTCTGAGGCTCAGCCTGGCCCTCGGGCCCCTGTCCTCCAGGGCCCCGGCGCAGCTGCAAGGACAGGCCCAGGTCATGTAGAGTGGTGGCAGTGGCTTGGGAAAGGTGCAGGGATCCACACCAATGGACCTGACCCCTTCAGTGGGGCATCAGAAAGGATCGTTGACTTGGGCTTGCTGGGAAGTGGTAGAGCCCTGGCCAGAGATGCAGAGCAGCCACCTCAACAGGTCTGTCATTTCAGGAACAGGGTTCACAAATCCTCAAGAAGGCTACAAAGCCACCTGACTCCCAGCATCACGCCCCCTCCAACAGACCCCAAGAGGGCATGAAGTGAAACAGCTACCCAAGAGTCCAATCCAGAGCACAGGCAGCCCTGGCCGCCCACTCAGAGGCTGGTAGGAAGGTAGGCAGATACCAGCTTCAGGCCCCATCTCACCTGCAACAGCTCCTCTTCCAGCTGCAGGGCCCGGGTCTTGAGCTCCATCAGTGCCTCCTCCTTGCTGGTCTCTGCTGCTTGCAGCTCAGCTTCCAGTCGCTGCTCCAGGCCCAGGTACCTGCCACAAAAAGCCTTGGTACCCAGCCCCACCTCCCTGCCCCTCTCTGCCCCTGGGCATTGCCTCCACCTCTGATGCTGGCTCTCCTGTTCTCGAAGAAACTCCTGGCGCTCCTGGGCTGCCCGTTCCAGCTCCCGCTGCAGATGCTCCAGCCGGGCCCCCAGCTCCTGGCCCCGCACCACAGCCTTCTCCAGCTCCTGAGGGCAGGCAGGTCAGGCTTAGGGCAGTGACCCATCACTCTCCCCCAGGGGCAGAGGAGGGTGGGAGGTCTGGCTTCCTGCCATTGCTCTGTCACCCTGGGCAAATATTTTGGACTCTTTGGGTCTCTACTCCCCCATCTATAAAAAAGGAACAAAGCCTGGTGGCTTGCAGGGTGCACACAAAAAGAACTGGAGTTGTAACCCTGGCAAGGTGACAGAGGTGTGCTCTGGGCAAGTGTCATCACCTCCTTGAGCCCGTAGTTCCGTGTGCGCTCAGAGAGAAGGGGGAGAGCCCTGCGGGCCGCCACACTGGCCATGTGGGGGTAACAGGGCTCAGTGGAGCAGATCAGAAGAGCACCCTCCCCAACAGGGGGATGCAGGACAGGAACTTGGGGGTCACAGGCCTAACCAGAGTGGAGGCCTGGAGAGGTCTGGCCAGGCGTGTGGCCTTTGGCAGTTGGGCCACACCATTTCAGGGGAGGGGTGGGAGGCCCATTCTGGCCTATAGGCCCCAGGGACAGGTAGGCCAAACCATTCTGATACACAGGGGACCCTGGCAGTATGAAGCCACTGAAAGGATGACACCTTACATCTTGCTTCTAGAAACCAAGCCGGCAGCTGTTGCTGCTGAGCCATCGTCCTGTGTAACAACCCACCCAGCCTTGCCCTGGGCCCTGCATTCCCAACACCTGTGGCCATGGCCTCTGGCTGAAAACCTACAAGTCCCACAAGGCACTGCTGCCTGGCCAGCCACTAGGGCCGGAGCACTGCTGCGGGTGGGAAAATAGTGCAGATGATGGCAAAGGCCCAGGGCTCCCTTTCCTGTGCCCCCTTCACCCAGCCCAGGAGGGCTCCATGCCCATGAGGACAACCCCAAAGGCCTGGCTCCCTGACCTGCCCTGTCAACCAGCTGCTCTTGTGCCACACCCAGGTAGCACCAGGAACTGCTCCTACCAGGAAATCTCACAAAATTCCCTTTGTCCCCAGATTCTTCCAGCCTCTGGGTCCTCAAAGCCTGTTCTTCCAGCCACCAGCCTCACCCTCACCCTCCCTGCACACTCCCTCTCCCAGTAAGCACATGCCAGGGGCCAGGCACTGCCCCAAACTCTCTGTGTGCATTATCTTACAGGATCCTCAAGGCAGGTACATTTTTGTTGTTCTGTTAACTTTACTTTTTCTTTTCCTTTTTTCAGGGATGAGGTGGGGACTGAGGTTTGAACTTAGGGCTTCATGCTTACAAAGCAGGTGCTCTACCACTTGAGCCACACCTCCAGTCCATTTTGCTCTGGTTATTTTGGAGATGGGGTCTCAAGAACTATTTGCCCAGAGCCAGGTACCAGTGGCTCATGCCTGTAATCCTAGCTACTTAGGAGGGAGAGATCAGGAGGACTGTGCTTCAAAGCCAGCCCTGGGTAAATAGTTCCTGAGACCCCCATCTCAAAAATACTCAACACAAAACAGAGCTGGTGGGGTAGTTTCAAGTGCCTAGCAAACATTGAAGCACTGAGTTCAAACCCTAGTACTGACAAAAAACAAAAACACTATTTGCCCTGACTGCCTTCGAACCTCAATCCTTCCTATATAAGCCTCCCAAGTAGCTAGGATTACAGGTGTGAGCCACCTGTTCCAGTACAGTTTTAACTCCAGTTTTACAGATCATCCGAAAAGTAAGGCTATCCAAAAGGTGACTTGCCCCAAGCTCACAGCTGAGAAGCTGGGGATCTGGACTATGATTCAGTTCCTTCAGCCTGACAGCACTCAGTTCCACCCTACAGAGTAAACCCCAGAGATGACCTCTGTCCTAACTATCCCAATTCCCACCTTCTTAGCCTCCCTGCCTCCAGCTTGCCCCGCCAAAGCCTAACCTAGGTCAACCCAGAGAAGGTGGGGTCTGAGCAAGATGCCTTTCCTTTCTGAATCTCAGCGTCCTGCCTGCACATTGGGACAGAACTGGAGACCTCCCCAGCACTGACACTCTTTCCACTGCTGTGTGGTGTCCTCCACTTTCCCCATGGATCTCCAGCAGGGCCTGACCACTGTGCTCACCTAAGCCTCCAGGGACACCACATAAGAAAAGCCCAATTCCTCCCTTAGCTTAGAAAGAAGCTTATGGCCTGCCATCAGGAGACCTGCTTAATTCACTCTCAGCCTCACCTCTCATGCCCACCTCACACTCCTCCAACTCATGCCTGAACCTACCCTACTCCCCCCTCCTCCAGGAAGCCACCTCTGGTGCACCCAGCCTAAGTCCAGGGTACTAGCTGGACCCGTGGCTCCCTGCACTGCCCTGTCTCCACTTGGCTTGTGAGGATGATGTGCCTGGTGTCTTGTCACCATTGTGCCTGGAGCCTGGGACACGGCCTGGCACCACAAAGATACCCATAAAGCAGGTATGAATGAATGACTACAAGTGTTTCCTGGCATTCTGTCTCCTCTGTCCCTGACCTCACCCCAGTCAGCTTGACCAATGCCCCTGCTTCCTCATGGTCCCTGGCTCCTGGCCAAGCAAGGTGACTATCCTCCAACTCAGCCCCACACAGGCCTGTCCATGTCCTGGGGTGGCTTTCCCTGCCTGAGGAATTGAATACCAACCACTAGCTGGCCCCATCCCTCCTACACCCCGAGTCCTTGTCCTTATGCCCTAGAAAAACCTTGGCCATTCCTCCTGAAAGCCTCCTTTCAGCCAGGCATCAGTTCCTCCTCCCATGGGCTTTCTTGGCACTTTGCACAAGTAAGTATTTTTGTTTTCCATCCCTTCCCTTCCCTTCTCTCTCTTCAGCAGTAGAACCCAGGTCCTCCAGTATACTAGACAAGCACTCTACCACTTGAGCTGTGCCCCCAGCCCTTTTGGTTTTTCTTTTGTTTTTGAGATAAGTCTCCCTAACTTCATCTGGGCTGGCCTCAAATGCTGGGCAATCCTCCTGCCTCCACTTTTCAAGTAACTGGTATTATAGGCATGAACCACCACACCTAGCCCTAGAAACCATTTCTTTTTTTTTTTTGCAGTGAGTACTGGGGCTTGAACTCAGGACCTACACCTTGAGCCACTCCACCAGCCCTTTTTGTGTGTGTGTGATGGGTTTTTGCAAGATAGGGTCTTGAGAACTATTTCCCCAGGCTGGCTTCAAACCATGATCCTCCTAATCTCTGCCTCCTGAGTAGCTAGGATTACAGGCATGAGCCACTGGTCCCGGCTCCCCTTAGTAACCATTTCTTGATCACTTACAACATATCTTGGCCCAGCATGAGCTAAGCTCTTTCCATCATCTTCCTCAGTCTTCCGAAAGACCTCAGAGGTGCTGGTGGCTCACACCTGTAATCCTAGATACTCAGGAATCAGACATCAGGAGAATCGGATTCGAAGCCAGCCCAAGCAAATAGTTTGTGAGACCCTATCTCAAAAAAACCCAACACAAAAACAGGGCTGGAAGAGTGGCTCAAGTAGTAGAGTGCCTGCCTAGCAAACATGAAACCCTGAGTTCAAAAAAAAAATCTCAGAGGTCCTGAGGAACAGCATTCTCATTTTCCAGGAAAAAGGACTGGGCTGGAGGTGAGTAGACTACCCAGCCAGAGCACCACGACTGCACCGGGCATCCTGAACCCTTCCTGCAGCCCACCCCATCAGAGGCAGAGGCCATCTGCTGTGTCCTAAGAAGGCAGGGGTGGACTTGGCCTTTCTATATTTTTCCCCAACTCCAACTGGGCACTCAGTGGTTGCTGGTGGAATCCACAATCCCACACCTAGCAACTTGTCTGGAACCCCAACATACCTCCCCGAGGGCTTGCTTCTCCCGGCGCTCACTTTCAGCCTCCTCCAGGTGGCCTCGGCCCTCCATCTCCAGCACCTGAATCCGCTGTTCAGCAGCCTCTGCTTGGGCTCGCAACCTGGGACCTTCTCGCTCCCACTGCCTCCGCTCCCGGCCTGCTGCTGCCAACGCCTCTGCCAGGGCCTCCCGCTCCCTGGACACAGCCTCTAGCTCCCGGCCAGCTGCCTCCACTGCCTCCCGCAGTCGGGCCAGCTCTCGGGCCTGGGCCTCTGCCTCCTGGTGGGCCTCAGCCTCTGTCCTCCGCACTTGGCCCAGCTCTTCTGAGAGGCGCGCAACCTCTGCACCTCTGGTCTCCAGCCTCTGGGCCTGGGCTTCCAGCTCAGCCCCAAGAACCACAGCCTCTCTCCTCAGCCGCATCACCTCCTCCCTGAGGTCCTCCTGCTCGGGGCAACCACTGGCCAGGGTCCCCCCCGTGATTGGCTCCTCCAAGGCCTGAACATCAGAAACTCCTTCCAACTTCTGTTGTGGTTTTTGAGGGGCCAACTCCCCAACCATCCCCTCTAGCCTGTGTTCATGCCTTCCAGCCTCTGTCTGTCGCTTGGACAAGTCCAGCCCCTGGTCCAGAGTCTCCTGTTCCTCCAGAGGAAGCTGGGGGTTGAGCTCTGAGGATCCAGGCTTGTGTTTGGGGCCCTGCTGGGCCTCAGGTGCTGACGTTCCTTGAGAAGCCTTTCTGTCTCCAGTCTCTTCTCCCAGCACAGGCTGCACCTCAGTTGTGATCTCTGGACTCTCAGGTGAGGTCATGGACAGGGAGGTCTGGACAGAAGCTCTGTGGCCAGTCTTCTCCAGGGACTTCTGTGTCTCCTCAGGAGGGTCTGAGTCTTCGGTTATGTCTGAGGTCTGGGCAGCTAGGGCAGCCTCCATCACCTCCTGGTCTGAATCAGATGCCAGGGGACACTCAGATGATGACCACTTGAGGGCTGAATCTGATGCACAGGGAGCAAGATCCAGGGTCTGGGTGCCTTCACCCTCTGTCTGGCAAACCAAGCCTTGTGGGCTGTGGTCTGAGGCCAGTGGAGTCCCTGGAGAGGCATCAAGCACAGGAAGCATGGAGTCCTTGCTCTGCTCCTCCAGCAGGGGACACTGTGGGCATATGAGAGAGACAGTCAGGCCCGAGGGGAGCACTAGGGGAGCATTGGGGGAAGGACCAGCCAGGACCACAGTGGGGGACTCACCTGGCCCTCCAGCTGCCTCTGTAGCACGTGAAGCAGGCCTCGGAGCTCCTGGTTCTCCCGCTCCACTGTCCGCAGCCGCCCAGCCTCTGCCTCCCTCACCTCATCTTGCAGAGAGGGCGCTGCTCCCAGCAGGAGTGCTGGTGCGGGTGGTAAGACCAGGTCAGAATCTGACCCATGCTTCCTCGCTCCTTACATCACCCCCACTACAGAAAAGACAGAAATCCCCCCCACTACAGAAGCTCCCATCCCAGGGTCCCCCTCACCCTCCACAGGAGAGCCTGGAGGAGGAGGTGGCTCCAGGCTCCTCCGAAGCTCCAACTCCAGCTCCACGTTCTCCTGCACTAGCTGGTCCACCTGATGCTGCAGAGAGCCCAGCTCCTGGGGGTGGTGCGAGGTGGGGGGTGGTAGAGAGACAGGGTCAGACCAGCCCTCCCAACACCACCACCATCACAGCTAGGTCAAGTGCACAGGACCAGGGTCCCTAGAAAGCATCAAAAATAGAGGTCATAGGAATCGCTAGGGGACCCTAGGGGATCATTGGGGTGGGGGACAGACCGACTGACAGGTCAACCCATCTGGGATCACTCAAGCGACCTCACCGCGTGGGCCTCGCCCAGCCGGGTGCGCAGCAGCAGGTTCTCCCGCTGGGTTTCGTGCAGTCGGGCGGAGCGCTCCCTGGCAACCTCCAGTTGCTCTTCCAGCAGCGCCTTTGAGGCCTCCAGCGCCCTTGACAGCACCCGCTCCTCCTGGTGGGAGAGCAGGGAAATGGGTGATGCAATGCAACCCTTATGAGCTCCAGGGCCCGAGGGTCCCAAACCCCTTCCCCTGGGCTGCCACGACTTGTCTCTTCTCCCCCACCTCTCCATCTGCCCCTCTTTCTTCAGGGTCTCTCCAAATACCCAAGCGCCTGATCCAGAGACCACCGCCCTACGTGTATCCTCACCCATTTCCCCTTGGCTTTACTGTGTCTCCCCCGCAGCCCCCCCCCCCAAAAAAAAAGCCTGACCCTAGGCCCAATCTCGCCCTGCCCCCTTCCGCTCGCCCCGCCCCCGGCTGCCCCGCCTCCCCCCTCACCTGCAGCTGGCCCTTGCAGGCCTCGGCCTCCTGCAGCCGCTCGCGACAGCGCCGCAGCTCCTCCTGCAGGCGGGGCAGGCGGCCCACCCGCTCCCGCAGCGCTTCGGCCTCCTCGCGGTACAGCTCCGCCCGCTTGGCCTGTCCCGACAACGCCTGGGCCTGGGCCAGTGCGGGCCAGAAGGATTAGGGATGTGAAGGAGACATGGGACCGGAGTTGGGGGAGGCAATGGCGGGAAACATTTGATCGCACCTCCTGGCGAAGCCTTCGAATTTCAGCCTCCAAGCCCTGCACCTCGGCTTGGGAGTCCAGCAGCAGCTCGGCCTTCTCCTCTCTGCAGGGATGGGGTGATGTTGGGTGTCTGGGAACCGCAACCTCCAGCGCTGTCCGGACCTGACCTCCCCCACTCAGCGGGGACTGGGGCCCCTCCCTCTCCCTGCAAGGCCCCTCTCCCCTCAGGTCCCTCTCCTAGCCTGAGAGCACTCACAGCTCCTGCCGCAGGCGCCGGAGCTGAGCCTTGGTATTGGCCAGCTGCAGTGCCAGATGGTGCGAGGGACCCTCCCCTGGAGCCCTCGCTGGAGCCTCGGCCGGCAAGGGGGCCCGTTCCCGCTCCAGCAGCAGTTCGGCCAGGCGCTGTGGGAGGTCAACAGTGAGGAGTAACCATCGCATACCTACCCAATCTGAACTGCGACAGACCCCAACCCCACACCTGGACCCCACACCCCCATCTTCCTTACACATCGGGGCCCACAATGTCTCTGCTCCCGCCTACCTGGGCCCCCAGATCACGCTCCCGCACCAGCTTCGACAGTGTCCCCATCAGACTCCGGGACTGCATCTCCAGCTCAAAAGTCCCTAGTTCCCCAGGATCGGGTCCAGCCAGCGCCAGCACCACACCGGCCCCAGGCTGGGTCACCTGGGGGCGCACGGAGAACAATTCAGGGGATGGAGGGTGTAGAGAATGTCCCCAGTGGCGGGACCAGTCCTAGGGTGTCCACCTGCTCCAGTACCTCCTGGATGGTGGTGGCCAGCTCACTCTGGACCTCCAGGCTGAGACCCTGGATGTGGCGGATGAAGAGTTCCCGGTGCTCGCACTGCAGGAGCCAGGAGGGGAAAAGCTGAGGCAGGGTCTTCCTCCATGCCATCAAAGCTCAACACCCCACTTCCCTCCCCTCCTCACCTGCACAGAGGCCCCCAACAGCAGCCGAAGTATGCCTTCCAGCTCCTCCACTGCCTCCTCTGCAGGGCACAAGCCACAGAGTTAAGGGGAAGGGGAGGAGGGGGTGAGCTGGGGTAGAAGCTAGAGGGCTGGCTGGGGACAGCACCTGAGAGGGGGTCAAATCCCAGCGTCTGAAGGTCTGGGGGTGGCGACAGGATCAGCAGCTGCAGCTCCTCCTGGAATGGGGCACAGGGATATGAATGGCGCCTTCTTGCAAGGGGCTCCAGGCTCCGCCACCCAACTCCTCACCTGGTAAAAGTCCCTTAGCCGGCCCCACAGGTGGCTCAGGTTCCACACCCGCCAGGCTGCAGGTCCGTCATGGCCTCTGACCATCTGAGATCCCCCTCGGGAACTGGGGGCACTGTGGGCACAGGGACCACGGGCCAGAGGTGGACTTGAGGACCCCTTAGAGCAGGCCTTGCCCATCACCCTCAGGCTCCTCCCACCAGCCCCCCCCACACCCCCTTCTCAGCTCCCATAGCCATGGCCCCTGATGTCCCTTGATGTCACTTACACTATGCCTAACACCCGGAGGAGCAGGGCCCCATCGCTGAGCCGCAGGAAGCGCTTCTCTGGGCAAAAGGGCCTCTCTCCCTCTTCCTCCCCTTCCTCCTCCTCCTCCTCCTCCTCTGTTCCTGCTGGCTCCTCCACCTCCCCCACCAGCCCTGCCAGTCCCAGGGCCTGTAAGGATAGAGAGGAGTCAGCAGAACAGAGGTGAGCCCCCACTAGCAGAGTGAATTCTGAGCCCCTCTAACCTACCCCAATGAGCCCTGGCACCCCCTACTCTCCTGTCCCCTGAATGCCTCTGGTCCCAGGTCCTGGACCCCCTTGCCTTCAACATGGGCTGGACTTCCCCACCCCCACAGAGAGTCTGCCTCTCCCCAGTCTCCATGCCTGCTCTTCACTCCCACCCTGCTGCTCACTTCCCCTCCCCACCCCCTCCCACCTGCTCCTCACCCAGGTGGCCAGGCTCCCACTCAGAAAATCTCTGAGTCTAGGCCCCTTGCCTCTCTCCATGCCGGGTCAGGGTGTCGTCCCACTGTGGCAGCTACACCTGCCCCGAGAGGAAGAGGAAGTCCCCAACTGGGGGATCCCGGCCAGCCACAAACACCCTATGCAGCTTCCTCCTTCCGGGTTCCTCTGGGCCAGTCGCCCCCAGAGTCCTGCCTCAGCCCCTCCTCACTATGGCATCCTCCCAGCATCTTAGGCAGAGCTGGCTAAGAGGTACCAGGCAAGGCCCACGGCACTCCTGGCACAGAGAGCAATGATGGGTAGCTTCTGCGAGTCTCTGGGATTAGTTTTTTTCCCAGCTTGAAGCCAGACAGTGTGACCTCAGCCTGGCACCCTCCAGGGCCACTAAAGAGACTCTGGGCTTTGCTGTGGAGTCTGGGTGCCCACATGTGCATCTTCTGGTATGTCTGGCTTTATTCATTAGCGCCTCCTTTCTACCCTCTTCTTTTGTTTAAATACTGGGATTTGAACTCAGGGCCTCAAGTTTGCTAGGCAACCAGCCTAGCTCTCCCCTTCTACTTTGATGTTTCTCAGCCTTATCCAGACCTCCCCCAAATTGTGCAGCGTGCTGCAGACACTGCATCCTCAGAGCTCCACAAAGGAGTGGAGACCCCTTCTCTGATCCAGCCCACCCCATGCTCTATACACACTGGACTGAAACAAGGATGCCAACAGGTGGCATCCTTACCACCTGAGGATGGCCAGGTCTCAGTTTCCCATCTGTGAAACCCTAGAGGGAAGTGACACAATAGGAAGAACAACACCACCTGTCTCAGAGATAAGCTGGCTGGAAGATGTCCTAGCTCCCCCACCACTCACTGGGTAGCCTCAGTTCATTCTTTCACCCACCCCGTCTGTGCTGGACACTACACCAGATGCAAGGATGCAGTGAAAAGTCCCACCGTCCCTGCCCCATGGGACAAACAGGACACTGGGGACCAGCTACCCCCAAAAATTACACACTGGAAATGTAATGTTGTTGCTGTACTTCATGCTTTGAAGGGGAGTAGACATGACCTTGGTGGGATGGGTAGGGAAGGCATCCCAGCCATAGCAGGCTTTCAGGGATGATTGGATTAACCAGGCCACATGAGGAGGAAGGAAGAGTTTTTCAGGCAGCAGGAACAAGATGTACAAGGGCTTGGAGGCAACATGACCAACATGAAATTCAAGAATTCATATTTTATCTTTTCCAAGATGCTGAGTTTTTCCCTACGAACATCTTCCTAAGGCAGGTTACAGGGTACCAGTGCCTTCCAACTGGCTGCAGTCCTGACATAGCTGACATCAGACACTGGAGAAAGGGTGTTAGCAGCTTGGAAGAGGACCCCCCGCCCAGCTTAGAGCACTCAACCCAGGACCCAAATGGTGGGAACACCCAGGGAAGGGAACCAGGTTGGTCAGCAACTCTCCCAAACCTGGGTCAAAGTTGGTTTGCTGGAATGAGTGCCACGCTGACTGCAGAGCTCCTGGCCCGAGTTGGAGCTGTTTTATGAATCGTTTGAAAGATGCTGAGTTTTGGGACATTCTCTCTCTCGTTGGCCCAGAGGAGGAGGTGGCAGGGAAACACAGACATCTGGACTCTCAGATTAGAAGTGATTGACAGGAGTCAGCCTCTAAATGGGAAGTTTTTTCAACACCATATCCAATTTACTATCCTTTTGTTTGTTTGTTTGTTGTACTGGAGTTTGAACTCAGGGCCTTCACCTTGAGCCACTCTGCCAGCCCTATTTTTATGATGGGTTTTTTTGAGATAGGGTCTTGTGCACTATTTGCCTGGGCTGGCTTTGAACCGTGATCCTCCTGATCTCTGCCTCCTGAGTAGCTAGGATTATAGGGTGAGCCACCAGCGTCTGGCCCTATTATTCTTTTTATGTGTACATAAGAATTATATATGATGAACACTATTTCTAAGTCAATGGAGCTCTTTTGGGGAATAAAAAATAAAAATTCTAGTGATGAAAGAGTCTTGGGACATGGTTATCTGGAGGCACCATTTTTTTCCTTGCTGGCATCTTTTACAATTGATGACATGTTAGAGTTGATGAAATAATAACAGCAATGATAGAAAACATGGGCTTCCCATGAGCTGGGCATGGTTTAAGAATTTTATACTTGATAACCTACTTGCTCTGGACTAGTCTATGGGGGAGATAAAAACCATGTATTATGTTTTCATTGTTCAGAGGAAGAAACTGAGGCATAGAGAGGTCAAGAAACTTTCACTGGCCACCGTGGCTCACACCTGTAACCCTAGCTACTCAGAGGCAGAGATCAGGAGGATCACCGTTTGAGGTCAGCCCAGGCAAATGGTTCCTAAAGACCCCCATCTCCAAAATAACCAGAGCAAAATGGACTGGAGGTGTGGCTCAAGCAGTAGAGCATCTGTTTCGCAAGGGGGAAGCCCTGAGCTCAAACCCTAGTCTCACCAAAAAAAAAAAGAAAAAGAAATTTGCCTAGGTTCACACAGCTATGAAACGGTAGGGCCAACTGAAAGAAGGCAGTGGAACTGGATTGTAAAGAGCAAGGGGCACAGTGGTCAAGGTGAGCTAGGGCTGACCATGTGGGGGGGACACCATGCAGGACTGTGAAGAGGGGAAGCACACCTAGTTGTTAACTTTGTGGAAACATCCAGAAGTGGAATGAATCGTCTTGCAGACAGTTGACCCTGTGAGCTGGTGCCCAAGCCAGCATTCATTAAATGGTCCCTGGTGTGGTCATTATTGTAAATAGGAAAACTATCCCGGGTCCCCTCAGATTTGGCCCTCGGAGAATCTCACTCTCGCTCGAATTGTCAAGGACCCCTGTCCAGGATTTCCTCAGGAGTGGCACTGTGTGAGCCCAGCAGGTCCTTCAGGGCCAGTCATGCGTGCTGACTGCGGCTCACCTCCGAGGGTGGAAGGAGGCCCCTGCCTTGCTCAATATCTGAGTCACACCCTTCCTCAGGCCTCGGAGGCAGAGGCCGTGTCTGGATTACTCTCACATCCGTCATCCAGACAAGCCTGGCTGCACCTCCATCTGCTCTCAGAGGGCTGAGTCAGGCAGGGGGACACCGCAGAAGGGGGCAGGCTGGAGATGCTCTGGTCAGCTGAATCTGAGATCCTGGGATTCCCAGGCTCAATTAGGTATTGAGGGGGTGCTCATTAGAGGCTGGCGGGGTTTCTTCCTTTGGCTGGATTTAAATATTTTCAGATATAAAGGGAGTGTGGTTCAAGAGGTAGAGCTCCTGCCTAGCAAGTGTGAGGTCCTAAGTTCAAGTCCCAGTACCAGAAAAAAAAAAAATTCCAGATATGGAATTCATGGTCAAAAGTATTAAGCAAGGGAAAAAAATAAAAATAATATTAAGAAAGGGGATGAGATCATGGCTCAAGTGGTAGAGCACCTGCCTAGCAAACTCGAGGCTCTGAGCTCAAACCCCATATCACACACACACACAAAAATTCTGTTAAGAAGGCAGTGGGCTCACAAATTCAAGGCCACCCTGTCTCAAAAAAAAGAAAACAGCCAGGTGCCGGTGGCTTACGCTTGTAATCCTAGCTACTGAGGCAGAGATCAGGAGGATCGAGGTTCGAAGTCAGCCCAGACAGATAGTTCAAGAGACCCTATCTCCAAAACCCTTCACAAACATAGGGCTGGTGGAGTGGCTCAAGGTGTAGGCCCTGAGCTCCTGCCCCCTGGCCAGAGGCAACCACTGGTCCATTTTCCTGTGTCCTTCCTGAGGACACAGTGAACCTGTGACAAGCGGTTGCAACCACATTGTGGCCGTGTACCTTCCTTGCCTCACAGTGTTTTGCAATCATTCTTCTTACTCTTTTTTTCTTTTCTTTCTTTTCTGGGTGCTGGGGACGGAACCCAGTCCTCACACATGCACTGTGACTGAGCTACAGCCCGGTCCGTCCCATTTCCGTACAGAACCATTGGCCTTGACCTTTTCAACAGCTGTAGAGTGCTTTCCCCACCATCATTCACAGTGCCCTGTTGGGAACTGCTGTACGTATTTCCACCTTTTGCCATGGTTATTGCACATTATTGCCATAATTACTGGCTTTCTCAGGTATCTTTTGGGGGCTGTCTTTTTTATTGTTTAACTGGTTGGAAGGGTTGTTGTTTTGGGGTTTTTTTATATTTTATTTTTTATTTTTGTTTTGGCAGTACTAGGGATTGAAGTTGGAGGCTCGTACTTGTAATCAGGCGCTCTACTGCTTAAGCCACTCTTCCAGTCCATTTCCCTCTGGTGATTTTGGAGATGGGGTCTCCATGCTGGCCTCAAACCTCCATCCTCCCTATCTCAGCCTCTGAAGTAGCTAGGATTATAGGCATGAGCCACTGGTGCCCGGCGGTTTTATTTTGTTTTTGAGACAGAGTCTCAAAAGTCTCACTGCTATCTTTACCCAAGTTGGCCTTGAATTCAAGATCCTTCTGTCTTCTCCTCCCAAAAGCTGCAATTACAGGCGTATGTCACCATGCCTGGATTGTTTCTGGCAGTTTTTTAAAGGGCTCAGTGACCACTGCTGTCCAGCAGGCGGACCCAGGAGATGGGCAAAAAGCAGAGAATGACAGACAGACAAATGGACAACATGGTCAGATCTGTCTCCTCTCTCTGGCCCAAAGTCCCCATCTGCATAGGGCAGGGGTGGGCCAGGCTCCATCTCCCAGTTCTCTTCAGTTTTGAGTTTTCTGGATAGCCCTGGTCCCATCTCAAGGCCAGAAGCCTGTGGTCTGGGGGTCAGGTGGGGCATGTCCAGGAAAGTCCTGGTCCAACCACACTGTGATGGTGAGGCTTTTTCTTCCTGCTCAAGACAGCTCCAGAGTCCCACCTAGCACCCCAGCCGCTTGACTAGAGCCCAGGTCTCTAGCCAGATGGTTCAGAGCTCCAGGCTTAAAGAATAAAAACAGAAAACAGCTTCCAGGGTCCCTGACCCTCTGCAGGGCTGCCCTCCTCCCCAGCTTCAGAGAAGGCATCCTTTCTCCACTGCCATTTGTGGTGGAAATAGTGGAACCAGACATGGACTACAGCAGAAATGCCCAGCTCAGGATCCAGATGAGCTGCCCGGACAGAAGGAGACGTGAGAAGCCAGAGCTAGGGAGGGTGGGACCCAAGGCCCTCTGCCAGTGCCCGCCACGTGCCAGGTGCTGGGTGCCCAGTACAGCCAGGAAGGCCCAGTCCTGGCAAGTGAAAAAAGGGAGGCCCCCACCAACCCTGCCACCTGACCCCGCTTGGCCTCCTTTCCTGTGCCATGGGACACCTACCCTGCCTCTCCTTGAGCTTCCAGGCCTTGTTGGGTCCCAGGCCCCAGTCCTCCCCTGGCAGGAGGAGTCCTTCACAAACACAGACCTGCTTTCCAACCCTTGCACTTTGTATCAAGTTACAGCTGCTCACCATGTCCTTCAGGGTCCTGGATCCTCACCACCACCACCACCACCCTGACCTCGTCCTTCCTCCTCCCACCTCCTCTACCCACTGAGCCTTGCTGAGTCTTGTCTCTCTCCCATCCTCCATGCCTTTGCATAAGCTGTTCCCCAGCTGGGACACGCTCCTTTCCCTTCACATATCCCCCTGTCCCTATCCCCCCCAACACACACACACACACCATCTCTCTCTACTCCTCCCCAAGAACAGTTCCCTTTCACTCTCCTGCTCATGCAACCAGTGGCTTTTCTCACCTAAGACTTTTCCCTTCTTCTTCCCCCCGCCCCTTGGTGGCACTAAGGTTTGAACTCAGGGCCTCACAATTGCTAGGCAGGCACTCCTACCCCTTGAGCCACTCCTCCAGCCCTATCTCCACTTTATAATGAAAAACTGGGGTTGGGGGATGTGGCTCAAGTAGTAGAGCACATGTCTAGCAAGTACAAGGCTCTAAATTCAAACCCTATACTGCTAAAAAAGAATAAATAAATACAATGAAGAAACCGATGCACAGAGACCTTAAGTCACTTGCTTAAGGCCTATAGCCAGGAAGCTCTGGAGCCAAAATGCAGAAGGAAGCCAAATGAATGTTTTCGAACAAGAGAATTCCTATTTTGGAGATAAAGAAAATGAGGTGTTGGGTGCCGTCCCAGATACTCCAGAGACTGAAGCAGGAGGATGGCTTGAGCCCAGGAGTTTGAGACCAGCCTGGCAACATAATGAGATCCTGTGGAAAAAAAAAAAAAAAGACAGGCATCAGTGGCTCATGCCTGTAATCCTAGCTACTCAGGAGGCAGAGATCAGGAGGATCATGGTTCCAAGTCAGCCCAGGCAAATAGTTTTCCAGACCCTATCTCAAAAATACACATCACAAAAAAAGGGCTGATGGAGTGACTCAAGATGCAGGCCCTGAGTTCAAACCCCAGGACTGAAAGAAGAAAAATGAAGGAAGGAAGGAAGGAAGGAAGGAAGGAAG